TTGAGAATTACGTTCTGAAATTAATTTACAATTGTGATGCTTATAAAACCTTGAAATTTGTAATATTAACGCATCAGAAGTGATAATGCTGTTGGTAACTAAATACATGAACACTTGAATGTAAGTTAATTTTCAAATACATTAGATTGCTCAATTGAATAACGAACATATTCTGGCAAATGGGAATTATAGTCACTGATACCAATTGATGTAGAAACTTGTAAGTGAAGAGAATCTAGTTAAGCAAGTAAAGAAAATTAAAAGTCCAACTGATATCCTGTTAAACTAAGATAGTCACAGTTGATTGATCAATTGGGTTCGACTTGTGTCAAGTATGTTTAATGCTTAGCGTCAGCCGAGTTATATTGATGAAGCTACGATTTGGCCATTATTGTAAGTGACTAGAATGAGACTTTAGACTATTAAAGGTAAATGGATAATAACTCGGAACCTGTCTAATTCTCAAGACGTGGGTATATGAAATCTCACAAACATTTATTCGAATTAGCCTGTTACTCTTTAACGACAAATAGTATTGTGCTGTTTGTTATGTAAAAGAAATGAAAATACTTGAGAAACAAAAAAAATATTTAAAAATGTTTAGTTAAAGCCTTCATTTTAATTGAGAATAGGGTCTCCAGTTAAAACGGTCAATATCTTGTCATAAAATATTATGGTCATCCTATGTTTCTTTTAAATTTAGTCACCAAGATAGGAATAGGGTAGCTAATGTATACTGTTATTATTTAAATATTGTTGGTTAAAAACGGTTTATATTGGAGATATCCTAATAAATTCACATGTGCATTAGCCAATTATTAAATTAAAGGTAAGGTTATTATCAATCAAGCCTTACTATTCATCAGTAGAATGAAATATTCTTATGAGATATAATTAAGTAGCAGTTTTCACAGCGTTAAAGAAACATATAGTATCTTGTTGACAACGCTTCATAGTGTTTAGTCACCTGAAGCGGATCGTTTAAATATACAAGACCGGTTTGTATACTGATGGATATCGTTTAACTAAATTCCTCATTGTGAAAGCTGATTGTGTACCAGATGGAAATCACAAACTGTTCATTAGTGCAATGTCAAATAACATTCATAAAGATTTTGGTGAAACGTGATAAAGAGAACGTATACAAGTTTCGAGATAAAGAACACTCTGAATATTACAACTACACTTTAATTCTTAGATGATTTTGTTTTCGAATCGTCTGCAAAGCATTTTAAAATAATACACTATGACATTAACATATAACAAATTCATTTGGGAGTGGTATTAGTCAGTTCAAATGTTGGTGTCTACTAAGATTGTGATAAAGCGGTAATAACTGTATCAATGTAATGTCACTAATAAAACAACCTAAGAATGACTTTCATTCATGAGAAATAATACAATACAATTGAATTTCTATTAAAGGGTTTCATAATATGTCAGATAAAACGTTAATTAAATTAACTGAAGTTTTGTTTGGAAAGGAAATAGCGACTAAGTTTTATCTAAAGAAAAATACACAATTTTCGGTTATTATTTATCCTTATTGTTCTTTACCGACAGCTATAAAATGTATTGGTTCTCCTAATATTCATTGTAGTAAAATCAATGATAATGATTGTCTTTTATGTGTAATATACTTTATGGAAGAAAATAAATAATCCAAGAATATGGGAATTATTATTTATTAGTTTAAGGGATTTGTAGAGTTCGTGAGAACTTTCAAGGTTTAAATCATGAGTTGTTCTCAACTAGACCAACACTGAAAACAGGGAAACACTAGACGTCCATTTTGTCTTAGTATATGAGACAGTAATTGAAGGCAGGTAATGCATGAGCGTTGAGCAGTATTGTGAATTGTTAGAAGTTAGACATTAACGATGTTAGCTGCCGGCTTAGTGGTCTAAAGGTTAGGCGTTCATCGCGAAACTGAGAGTTGTTGGTTCGATTGGTTGTGTATGTGTACTTCTGAGGGTCTCATACTAGGAGGAAACGATCGTTCCGTGGTCCAGGTCTACATTAGTAACCTATGTAAGATCACTTCGCAAATATAAACTTTGAAAATAGTTATTTATGTTCATTAAGGTTATTAGTAATAAAACTAGTAGGAAGTGAGACAAAAGAAGAAAAAAATTGTAGTAATCTGTATATTAGGTCGGTGGATAGATGAGGGACTGATACTACTCACATACAGTTGAAGGATTTATTTAGTAATAACTTTTAATATTTTTCTGAAAACATTTTCAGCCCATAAAAACACTTCGAAATAATTTGAAACTAAGTGATTCCTTCACAAATACATAACAGAATGTCTTATCAATATTAGATGTAAAAAGAACAGTTGATCCTACTAATTATTTGTTTTACCCAACTAATTTTCGACCTTCTAATCGGTTTTCATAGATTGGATACACGTCGATATATCCTTTGATTGTTGAGTAATATGAGTTTTAAGCCTCGAAAAATTCACTGGTCTTCTTCGAATAACTTATAAATACCCATAAATTCCTTTATCTTAAATTTTCCACATGCATAAAACTATGTGAAGATATAAATTGTGTTATTTAACAATCAAACTGATATTCAAGCAATAACAAACGAACAAATAGATTCTCTCATAGTTGTGTTGGCATATATTATACATAACCTTATTGTTTCGTTTGAAACAATATCATACCTTCATTTTGTGACTAACTTTAGGGTGATATTCTTTTTATGACTGATAGGTCCTCGGTTTGAATCTCGCGAGGCGGGATCGTGGATACGCACTGTTGAGGAGTCCTACAATAATTGGACGAAAAGGCCGTTCAGTGCTTCCAGGTTTTCCATGGTATTATAGCTTTAATCTCAACTATTGTAATACAAATTGTCAAAGAAATATCTCATATTTTGACTAACATAAACACCTTAGATCTAACATTTCAAGAAAATAAACTAAGACAGTACTATTGTAAACACAAAAGTTGACAAAAACAATACAACAATAGTCATGAATAAAAAGGATTATGATACTAAAGCTTTTGAACATCTCTCCACAGAAGCATATCAAGAGATTGATCCAAAATATTTTGAACGGTTAAAAATAAAGCGAAATCAGAGACAATTCAACTTTTGCAAGAACTAAAATGAGTGACTGGTGTCTCTTTATGGTCTACTTCATATCCCAAATCATACACTAATCCACGTTTTTATGGTTTACTTCAAATTCCTAATACGACCTTTAGCAAACTTTACAAACACGCCAACATATGCATTATTTAAATATCTGGACAGGATATTAAAGCCTATTCAACAAAACTTACATAATATAATTGAAGAGTCCTATGACTACAGATAGAAACTATCGGAATTAATTACTTTAAAGAATGAAACCATGATAAACTATGATATTGTCTCATTATACACTAGTATTCCTATAGATAGATGCATAAACTTTATTAGTGATTTACTAGATAATGACAATACTTTATCTGGCAGATATCCTTTAAGCATCAGTCTAATTATGAAATCGTTAAAACTGTGCTTAAATTCAACCTTATTTACTTTTAATGGGACATTATACAAGCAAACAAGCAGATTAGCAATAGGATCCTCCATGTACCCGATTGTAGCCAACCTGTTTATGTCACATATAGAATCGGATATTTTCGCCGATGATATTAAAGCACGGATTTGGCTCAGGTATGTAGACGATACCTTTGTTGTCATAAAAAGATTAATCTAAGATCGTTTTCTAAGTTGATCAGTACACTCTCATCTCACATTAAATTTACATATGAGAATGAAAATGAACACGATAAGCTACCTTTTTTTAGATTATTTAGTTAAAAGAAATCTAAGTGGAGCTCTGAATCTAACCATCTACCGAAAACCAACGCACTCAAATAATTATATAGACTTCAGCGAAATTCTCTCTGGCCCTAAATCTTTTTAGAAGAGTGGACAAGATTATTACATCTGAAGAGGATAGATAAAAAGAATGAAAACATATAAGTAACATCTTACAAATTATTAATTTTCCTATGAAGATTATTAAAAGTGCAATAAAACGAGACGTGTTACTGCTAACTAATAACCTCAATGAAATACCATGGATTGATACGTTGGTTTAATCATACGGACATGGTACAACAGAAGAACTTCAAAGTATGTTGCAGAACAACGAACACCCTTTGAAATGCTTCACTTCGCATAAAGGATCAAATCCCTTTTGTGTGAACACGGGAGTGTGTTTAAAAATTAGGCTGTGATGATTGCGTTGCCCTCTATATTGAAGAGCCGTCTTGTGAAATCTTGACTCAAACCAAAGAACATCTTAGGTACACAAAGAAACCTCCTAACAATTCCGTAGAGCTGGAAAGATTTCAAATTCATTCGGTAATAGCAGTCTATGCCATTTTCAATAACTATCAAGTCGATGTTTAAACCACCCAAATAATAGAAAAGAGCTTTTTCAACTACAATGGAGGGCGAATAGCTGAAGCTTTTCATATATTACTTAATCCTATTGCCCTCAATAGAAAATAAGACTTTACTATCCATCTGACTTGGATCATTTATCCGAGTCATTTATCTAGTCACATCTCGCATCATCGCACACTCAAATTCAACTCTATCCTTTCGCATCACAAATGTCATATACACACAAATACACAAATATCCCTCACATAAATCACCTTGACCGGAATGACATGACTTGATCAGACCTTTTTGTAATTGATTGCACTTAGTATTCTTGCATTGTTAGGTTAGATAACACCGACAATTCACTGGATGCCAACTCAGTGGTTTAGAGGTTGAGGGTTTGAGTGTAAGACAGCGATTTCTGGGTTCTCTCCCCGAATATGGGGTCTCAGATCATCACTTCTGAGGAGTCTCGCACTAGGATGAAACGGCCGTCCAGTGCTTTCAGGTTTTAATGGTGTCTCAACTTACATTGGCTCATGATTTTAGTGCAATCATTCTAAGTACATTGAATACGATCACCGCTAAAGGTATGGATGATTGTTTTTACTACTACTACTACTACTACTACTACTACTACTACTACTACTACTACTACTACTACTACTACTACTACTACTACTACTACTACTACTACTACTACTACTACTACTTCTACTACTACTACTACTACTTCTACTACTACTACTACTACTACTTCTACTACTACTACTACTACTACTACTACTACTACTACTACTACTACTACTACTACTACTACTTCTACTACTACTACTACTACTACTACTCAGAATTTTCACAAGACATGATGAATTTGAATTTTTCTTCTGGCTGAACATACGAGTCGGAGTGAAAAGTTATTGAAAGTTATTCTCATTTCCTTTTTTGATCGTTTCATTAAATGATGCTATCAAGAAGCCAATATGGCTTTATTAAAAAATATTACAAGTCTATTCCATGCATTCGTATGGAGTTTATGTTCATTCAATGCATATAAAATGCTTGTAAAGAGAAAATAGTGATTGATTTTGATAGTTGAGATCATCTGGTCAGAGGAAATTACCAAGAGGTTATGAATCCCCATTTATCTATACAACATGACTCATAAGTAAGGATATCGTTATGTCTAGAATGAATCAGTGATACTTTAGTGACTTAAAGTACACCATGACTATGTAAGATATTAATTAGCTACTTCAATCTATAGATTGGGTTCTCTGGTGAATGACGAAACCATTTTAAATTGTGATTCGACTAAATTAGTCTTCATCCTCCTAACGTTTTACTAATTCATATATGCAGAAGTCAAAGACTGTGTAGATAGCTTTATTGTCAAATGCCAAATTATAACCCTTTAAACTCATGAGTATTTTACTGACGATTAGACTGATCCAGATTACTGTAACAAGGTGAATAATCCGTTTCCTCATGATTCATCGCCCACACATCTCATCTGCCATACGTCCTCGATATATCTCACATGACTTTTTTAGGTTTGCTTAGCATATAGAATAATTGATGTCATAGGTCCATGATTTAAGCTTTGAAACCGAATGTAACTGACTACTAAACTGTTCTGTGGAGGTTAATAAGCACTTAGATTTAAAAATTGACATACTATTTGATGTCTTTAAATGATTCTCTTATGCAATAACTGTATTTTCAAAATATAAATACATCAAAAGCGGAACGACAACATTATCCGCAATCCAACACTCCCTGTTTTGATGTTAGGTGGTTAGAAGTAATTAATAAAAAAGCACTCATGCTCTAAGTTAAGCGCTCGTTGATACCATTATCAGTAAGGCACACCTAGTAATCTCAACTGAACTAATGTTTCTTATTTTCTTTGAACCAAGATCATACAGTCCTCCAGTATGACAGAGATTCTTCCAATTCATATCTATACATGATAGTAACGTGTTTTTACATTTTGCAGGTTACCACAACACACTTTTGTCTAAATCTTTAGATTACTTGTAATTAACTTCAACACGTTTCAAGTATCTATTCATATATTCATACAACTCGCTAGTGGGTAATGATAACGTTATACATACGTATGTAATAAGTAAACCAATATTGTGTTATACATACATATGATTCTTTTCAGTCATCTTCCAACTTGAAAATCTGATTATCATAGGATTATTATTGTCTATAAAGCAGTTTATAGTTTAATGGATACAATTTTATTTAAATATGGTCTAATAAAAGACTTGCGTAACTATCTTCTTTAATTCTGTTCACCTAGTTATGTAAGTATAATTGATCTTTCCTGTTACTAAGCAACTTGTATACGATATTAATAATTCATAAATTTTGGTTAATTTAAATAACAGATAATGGTAAACGTTGTTAGAGTCAACTTAAACATTATTATTATTAAAACAATTTTTATTATAGAAAACGTATATACTACTTGTGTTATGTAAGGTAATGAAATGTGACTTCCAGAAAAAGATTTTTTCTATTGAATTGTTGATTTTGATAGAAATTAGTTGAATATCTAATGCTATGGATGAGATAATTAATTAAATTCTTCTAACTCTCAATGAATAAATTTAATAGTTGAGATGATGAGTCAATTGAAACTAGACTTTCATGGAAAACCTGGAAGCACTGGACAACTGTTTCGTCCTGTTGTGGGACTCCTCATCAGTGCGCATCCACAATCCTGCCTTGAGATATTCGAACACAGGACCTATCGGTCTCGCCCACGAACGCTTAACCACTAGACCACTGAGCTGCCTGGCATCCAACGGTGTTAATGTCTAACTTCAACTAGTCCACGAAATTGAGCGACACATCCGCCATTATCATCAGTGAGTTACTATCTCATAACAGACGTGGTTGAACTTTAAAGTGAATATAAGAGTTGAAACTATCACTTTGACGGACGTTAAACGCTATTCAAATCTTATACGAGCTATGTTTACTGGACATCGTATAGGCCCATAGTTGACAATGCTTAGTATTCGTGCAATATCATATTTTGACACAAGTTAGAAATGTAGACAATCATATGTTAACACAATGGTTTAAGTATGAAAGGCTTTCTTCAAGGTCTGAATGTTTCAGGTTCGGTTCCAAAGGAGTAGAGGCTTGTAGGAGCTAATTTTTCTTTAGGATTTATTCTAATGATAATGTCCATACAAATAACGAAGATTCTCGATAGTCATGAGTTATCTGTTCACGGTCCATCAACCTGAAAATATTCTATGACTAATTTCATACCTTTATTAATTTTCATATAAAAATGCCTTGACAAGTATATGTGTGACCAGATTGTTCGAAATGTATAGCGCAAATACATCACATTTTTCAGATGAACTCCGTCTTCTCATTGTTCTGTCGAAATTTATAAAAGGGACTAATTGCTTTAATTTCATACTACTTTAAATGTATTTAGTAGTACAACTACAACACAAAATAAGCGACGGAAATCTGATTAGTATCAGAAGGCGTTTTGTGGAGATTATAGTAATTTAAACAATTGAGATCATGAGTCAATTGAAGCTAGATCACCGTGGAAAACCTGTAAGCACTGGATGGCCGTATCGTCTTATTGTGGGACTCCTCAGTAGTGCGCATCTAATTTAAAAATTTACCAAAGCTTTTTATGATTTACTAATTTTTCTGTTTTATTGACATAGCTAAATTCAGAAGTGATGAACCAAGAAGGAGAAGATGATGAGAGCCCATTAAACAGTTTACTGAATGATGTTCCAAATTATATGCAACCTGACCCTATAAAATCTAAACTTAATTCAGCTGTGAAATCAGATAAAAAGAATATCAAAGATGATTCTGTAAATATTAAAAAAATTTCTTCTCGTTCTAGTGATCAACATCGTTATCATCAAAAAAATAACCCGAATAATGTAAGTTTCAAAAACTATTCATATCGAATTTATTTATTCAACATCTTTTACATTTGTGTTCTGAGTGGATTACTTTGATATTGTCGTCGAATCACAAGTTTTTAGTGAATTGAGGATACATATTTGCTAACGGAGACTGATTGTTTTCAGTCCTTTTCATATACAGTGGTAAAATATGAACTTCTAAGAAAGACTCATACCCGTTAAACAAGCCAGTGGCAGTTCAGACTCAATACCTAAGTGAATAGCGTTATAACGTTTTAGACGAATAGTACTGCGTTGAATATGAACTATGGGATCTAGGGACATCCAGCTGACGAATCCTAAATAGGAATGAAAGTACATCTTGGATTCCACTGATAGCCACTATTCCGTTCTGCTTATAATGTCTGTGAATTAAAAGCAATATCAATGCAATTAGAACGGGATGCATATATATTAAAGGTGACTGATTAATTGCAGTCTTCAACATCAGTGGGAAGATTCAAACGACCGGTACAAATAAATTAAATTTTACACTACTGCATAAGCCGGTGGCTATCTGTACTTAGTAGCTAAGAAGATGAAACGATGTCGTTTTAAGCGGGTCCCGGAGTGAACATCAACACTAAGATATAGGTAACTCCATCTGACAAGTTCAAAATAGAATGAAACGCTCATCTTTTTGATGGAGTTTTGTTCTCTGAGCTGGATGGTTTGGTCGTGGAGCTTTCATCGCTCTTCTGAACGACATCATCAGCACAAACTTCAGATAGAAGTGAAGTGTTCGAATTTCTCCATATGTGTTTCACAGCTTGTTCTGTGCACCTCGATGTTGATTGGTTCTTGTTGACCTTAAATTTATCATTGTTTCACGATGTCTAAATGTTCTGACGTGAGCATCCTTTGTAGCTTTATCTTTTGGTCCTCTATGACGTGCTGGTATTTGCGGATCCTGTAGTGTGCATCCGTTATCATTAGGTGTACCATTTTTCTTCCACTTTGCTCAGCTATTCTCCATCCTAATGGGCAGTTGATTGGAGGTCTATATCTTACACTTGTTGGTAGAACATGCTGGCGAAGACACTCATGGAGAAAATATAGTTGTTCTCGAGTGGAAGCCTGCCTTTTGGCGAAATTCTCCCATTTTCGAACAACGAGAAGCGTATTACGCTCATATGATTTTGAGATGGTGGAGAAGATTTGTAGCTCAGGTGGATGATTTTGATGGAGTTTTGTTCTCTGAGCTGGATGGTTTGGTCGTGGAGCTTTCATCGCTCTTCTGAACGACATCATCAGCACAAACTTCAGATAGAAGTGAAGTGTTCGAATTTCTCCATATGTGTTTCACAGCTTGTTCTGTGCACCTCGATGTTGATTGGTTCTTGTTGACCTTAAATTTATCATTGTTTCACGATGTCTAAATGTTCTGACGTGAGCATCCTTTGTAGCTTTATCTTTTGGTCCTCTATGACGTGCTGGTATTTGCGGATCCTGTAGTGTGCATCCGTTATCATTAGGTGTACCATTTTTCTTCCACTTTGCTCAGCTATTCTCCATCCTAATGGGCAGTTGATTGGAGGTCTATATCTTACACTTGTTGGTAGAACATGCTGGCGAAGACACTCATGGAGAAAATATAGTTGTTCTCGAGTGGAAGCCTGCCTTTTGGCGAAATTCTCCCATTTTCGAACAACGAGAAGCGTATTACGCTCATATGATTTTGAGATGGTGGAGAAGATTTGTAGCTCAGGTGGATGATTTTGATGGAGTTTTGTTCTCTGAGCTGGATGGTTTGGTCGTGGAGCTTTCATCGCTCTTCTGAACGACATCATCAGCACAAACTTCAGATAGAAGTGAAGTGTTCGAATTTCTCCATATGTGTTTCACAGCTTGTTCTGTGCACCTCGATGTTGATTGGTTCTTGTTGACCTTAAATTTATCATTGTTTCACGATGTCTAAATGTTCTGACGTGAGCATCCTTTGTAGCTTTATCTTTTGGTCCTCTATGACGTGCTGGTATTTGCGGATCCTGTAGTGTGCATCCGTTATCATTAGGTGTACCATTTTTCTTCCACTTTGCTCAGCTATTCTCCATCCTAATGGGCAGTTGATTGGAGGTCTATATCTTACACTTGTTGGTAGAACATGCTGGCGAAGACACTCATGGAGAAAATATAGTTGTTCTCGAGTGGAAGCCTGCCTTTTGGCGAAATTCTCCCATTTTCGAACAACGAGAAGCGTATTACGCTCATATGATTTTGAGATGGTGGAGAAGATTTGTAGCTCAGGTGGATGATTTTGATGGAGTTTTGTTCTCTGAGCTGGATGGTTTGGTCGTGGAGCTTTCATCGCTCTTCTGAACGACATCATCAGCACAAACTTCAGATAGAAGTGAAGTGTTCGAATTTCTCCATATGTGTTTCACAGCTTGTTCTGTGCACCTCGATGTTGATTGGTTCTTGTTGACCTTAAATTTATCATTGTTTCACGATGTCTAAATGTTCTGACGTGAGCATCCTTTGTAGCTTTATCTTTTGGTCCTCTATGACGTGCTGGTATTTGCGGATCCTGTAGTGTGCATCCGTTATCATTAGGTGTACCATTTTTCTTCCACTTTGCTCAGCTATTCTCCATCCTAATGGGCAGTTGATTGGAGGTCTATATCTTACACTTGTTGGTAGAACATGCTGGCGAAGACACTCATGGAGAAAATATAGTTGTTCTCGAGTGGAAGCCTGCCTTTTGGCGAAATTCTCCCATTTTCGAACAACGAGAAGCGTATTACGCTCATATGATTTTGAGATGGTGGAGAAGATTTGTAGCTCAGGTGGATGATTTTGATGGAGTTTTGTTCTCTGAGCTGGATGGTTTGGTCGTGGAGCTTTCATCGCTCTTCTGAACGACATCATCAGCACAAACTTCAGATAGAAGTGAAGTGTTCGAATTTCTCCATATGTGTTTCACAGCTTGTTCTGTGCACCTCGATGTTGATTGGTTCTTGTTGACCTTAAATTTATCATTGTTTCACGATGTCTAAATGTTCTGACGTGAGCATCCTTTGTAGCTTTATCTTTTGGTCCTCTATGACGTGCTGGTATTTGCGGATCCTGTAGTGTGCATCCGTTATCATTAGGTGTACCATTTTTCTTCCACTTTGCTCAGCTATTCTCCATCCTAATGGGCAGTTGATTGGAGGTCTATATCTTACACTTGTTGGTAGAACATGCTGGCGAAGACACTCATGGAGAAAATATAGTTGTTCTCGAGTGGAAGCCTGCCTTTTGGCGAAATTCTCCCATTTTCGAACAACGAGAAGCGTATTACGCTCATATGATTTTGAGATGGTGGAGAAGATTTGTAGCTCAGGTGGATGATTTTGATGGAGTTTTGTTCTCTGAGCTGGATGGTTTGGTCGTGGAGCTTTCATCGCTCTTCTGAACGACATCATCAGCACAAACTTCAGATAGAAGTGAAGTGTTCGAATTTCTCCATATGTGTTTCACAGCTTGTTCTGTGCACCTCGATGTTGATTGGTTCTTGTTGACCTTAAATTTATCATTGTTTCACGATGTCTAAATGTTCTGACGTGAGCATCCTTTGTAGCTTTATCTTTTGGTCCTCTATGACGTGCTGGTATTTGCGGATCCTGTAGTGTGCATCCGTTATCATTAGGTGTACCATTTTTCTTCCACTTTGCTCAGCTATTCTCCATCCTAATGGGCAGTTGATTGGAGGTCTATATCTTACACTTGTTGGTAGAACATGCTGGCGAAGACACTCATGGAGAAAATATAGTTGTTCTCGAGTGGAAGCCTGCCTTTTGGCGAAATTCTCCCATTTTCGAACAACGAGAAGCGTATTACGCTCATATGATTTTGAGATGGTGGAGAAGATTTGTAGCTCAGGTGGATGATTTTGATGGAGTTTTGTTCTCTGAGCTGGATGGTTTGGTCGTGGAGCTTTCATCGCTCTTCTGAACGACATCATCAGCACAAACTTCAGATAGAAGTGAAGTGTTCGAATTTCTCCATATGTGTTTCACAGCTTGTTCTGTGCACCTCGATGTTGATTGGTTCTTGTTGACCTTAAATTTATCATTGTTTCACGATGTCTAAATGTTCTGACGTGAGCATCCTTTGTAGCTTTATCTTTTGGTCCTCTATGACGTGCTGGTATTTGCGGATCCTGTAGTGTGCATCCGTTATCATTAGGTGTACCATTTTTCTTCCACTTTGCTCAGCTATTCTCCATCCTAATGGGCAGTTGATTGGAGGTCTATATCTTACACTTGTTGGTAGAACATGCTGGCGAAGACACTCATGGAGAAAATATAGTTGTTCTCGAGTGGAAGCCTGCCTTTTGGCGAAATTCTCCCATTTTCGAACAACGAGAAGCGTATTACGCTCATATGATTTTGAGATGGTGGAGAAGATTTGTAGCTCAGGTGGATGATTTTGATGGAGTTTTGTTCTCTGAGCTGGATGGTTTGGTCGTGGAGCTTTCATCGCTCTTCTGAACGACATCATCAGCACAAACTTCAGATAGAAGTGAAGTGTTCGAATTTCTCCATATGTGTTTCACAGCTTGTTCTGTGCACCTCGATGTTGATTGGTTCTTGTTGACCTTAAATTTATCATTGTTTCACGATGTCTAAATGTTCTGACGTGAGCATCCTTTGTAGCTTTATCTTTATCTTTACAAATGATGCTCACGTCAGAACATTTAGACATCGTGAAACAATGATAAATTTAAGGTCAACAAGAACCAATCAACATCGAGGTGCACAGAACAAGCTGTGAAACACATATGGAGAAATTCGAACACTTCACTTCTATCTGAAGTTTGTGCTGATGATGTCGTTCAGAAGAGCGATGAAAGCTCCACGACCAAACCATCCAGCTCAGAGAACAAAACTCCATCAAAATCATCCACCTGAGCTACAAATCTTCTCCACCATCTCAGAAACGCTCATCCTTTATTCCACTGCTAGCAACTGTCCAAAGTGATTCAACGAATTGTCCCGCATGAGGTTAACCGGTAAATATTGTATTGCTGAGGTGTCAAATGTTTACTAATTATCAATCACTTGCCCAAATTAAGTCAGTTTTTTTAATATAAACAATGCAAACATATTTTGCCTTATGAACACTAACGAATTGAGTAAATTTATTCAATCTTGTATCGTACACAAAAGCTACTAATAAACAGACAGCAAATGTAAAATATCCCATTCCATACACACGAACAAATGCAAATGAAGACAACCAGTGTAGCAGCAGCAGTCTCCGCATCAGTAGGCCTCAACGTACACAAGGGGAAAATCAACATCCTCAAATACAACATGGAGAACACAAACCCAATCACACTTGATGGTGACACTCTGCAAGATGTAGAATCCTTCACGTACCTGAGAAGCATCATTGATGAACAATGAGGATCAGATGCAGGCGTAAAGGCGAGGACAGGTAAGGTGAGGGCTGCATTCCTACAGTTGAAGAACATATGGAACCCAAAACAACTCTCAACTAATATCAAAGTCACAATCTTCAATACGAACGTGAAGACAGTCAGTTCTACTGTACGGAGCTGAAACTTGAAGAAGTACTACAATCATCATCAAAATGGTAAAAGTATTTATAAATAGTTGTCTACGCAGAATATTCAACATCCATTGGCCGGATACCATCAGCAACTGCCTATTGAGGGAGAGAACAAACCAACCTCCAGCTGAAGAGGAAATTAGGAAAAGACGATGGAAATGGATAAGACATACGTTACACAAATCATCAAACTACATCACGAGGTAAGCCCTAACTTGGAATCCTGAAGGGAAGCGGAAAGGAGGAAGGCCTAAGAACACATTACGTCAAGAAATAGAATCAGATATGTAAAGGATGAATAACAACTGGAAAGAGCTGGAAAGTATTGTTCAGTACAGAGTTGAATGGAGAGTGTTGGTGGGTGGCCTATGCTCCTCCAGAACAGGGAACCAGCGTAAGTAAGTAAGCAAGTAATGTCATTTGAGTATTAATGTCTTACTATTGATATGGTTGATTTTAGGAATACATCTCTGAATGAATATTGTCTATTGTATATTATATAACATTCAGGTTTCTTTTTCTTTTTAAAAAACAATTAGGATGTAAATCAATCACAAGATGATCATAATTTATCAGAGAAACAATCATTCATTGATAAAAATTATAAATATTGGCCACAATATCTTAGCTCAGATTATTTAGGTCCAATGGAAAAAAATTTTGAATTCAACAATTGGGATTGGTTACGATTAAATGTACTTGGATCTGGTTGGGAAGATTTACTTAGAGAAATACCAGTCAGTCGTAAGGAAGCATTAAATTTACTTGGTAAATTTATTTATTTATTTTCTAATATATTGTTTATATAATTATTTTAGAATCTACTAGACTACAGTTAGTTGCATAGTGGCTAGCAGTGGGATCCAGTTTGACGCGCGTTTCGTCTTATTTCGGACTCATCATCTGAACGTGCCTGCATCTCAGAGTTGATTTTCACTCTGGGACTTGAATCTAGTACTATTCACTACAAACACCATTGCGTTATCCACTTAGATACTGAGTCCTGTGAAAAGGGGTGAAGTTTAAATTCAGTCGATATTGCTTACTTAAATCTTCACATTGATGTTTAGAACTGAGATTAACATTATGGATTAATTAATCGGACTATATTGTAAATGAGGGGGGAAGTGGATAGTTATATTATCTTAATATCTGATTTATAGTTGTATACTTACGATCTAACCAGTAAACGGATCCAAGTTATGATATGGTGAACTGTACCCCCTTATTAGGTGAACACTTGACCCTAAGAGTAAAATACTATTTCCACAAAAAAATTCTTTTTTTCTTGAAAAAGTGTAATGTACACAAAAAACAAACCCTTTTTTGTAAATATCGTACTGAGAACAAATAAACTTAGATATACATATATATGTGTATTATTAAAACAATTCAACCCATTAAAATATGAATTAGAATAGTACTTTCGAGTGAAAAAGAAAAAAATATCAAGGGTAATGATTAGCACCAATTATTGTTTTATTATGATGAATCGATTATCAATAATGGATTCGATAAATTGATTAATTGTTTTCTTGAAATCACAGCTTGTTAGTTTTGGCATACATAGTAGATATTCACAGTGGGTTAAATAGTGAAAAGAAAAAGGTGGTGAACTGATAATCTAGAAAAAAATATAACGTAAATATTATTATAAGAAAATATGGATAGTGGTTAACAATGGAATCCAGGACACGTGTTTCGTCATATTTGGGACTCGTCATCTGAATGTACCTGCATCTCAGAGTTGATGTTTACTCTGGCATTCAAACCCAATACATTAAGCTTCAAGCACCACCGCGTTATCCACTTGAATACTGAGTCCTGTGAAAGGGGGTGAAGTTGAAATTCACTTGATATTGTTTACTTAATTCTCCTCATCGATGTTTAGGACTTCAATTGATCATTCATTTAAAGTTCACTCCATTGCACAAACAAGTGACTATCAGGACTCAGTAGCTAGTGAATAAAGTGATGACGTTTGAAGCGAACGGTACTGAGTTCGAGTCCTGGAATGAACATCAACTCTGAGATGCAGGTACATTCAGCTGACGATCTGAAATAGGAAAAAACGCGCGTCAAACTGGATTCCACTGCTAGCCATTATCTATCTTTGCATATAATGCTTGTGAATTAAGGTAATATCTAGGCAATCCGCACAATATGCGCATATGCCAACAACAGACTGATCAATTGCAGTCCTAAACATTAATGAGAAGATTCAAGTAAACAATACCAAGTGAATATAGATATTATTATTTGTAAAAAGAAACTAGTTATGCTTCATTTACGACTGACTAATGTTGTTTATACTGTTATCTTGGACTATTGGTTAAAAAATTACTATTTAGAGTCTTTGTACATAAATATTTCTGTATTTAATAGCAGAGAGAACAGTCGTATTTTTAAGAAGTCGCATTTTCTTGCTGTTGATGTATATAGCTGATAATGATTAGTCTCTGTTTGTTACTAATAAGTCACAAATAGGATAAAAGCCGAGTTTCGGATTCTCATATACTAACCACTGATCAGCATTACTAGGGAAAAACAATACTTTAGAAATAATCGTATGAGCATACTTTATTTTCCTAGATGTCTTACCGACTTTTCAAAATCTGTAGTATTTTACTATCTACCTTACGAATGAACTTTCATTCACAGATAGGACGAAACGGCCGTCCATTGCTTCCAGGTTTTCAATGGTGGTCTAACATCAATCGACTGATGATCTCAATCAAAACTCAACAATCTCCACAACCCCTATACTGATAATTATTAATAAACATTAGTAGTTAGATTAGGTAAATATTGATTTAAATTAGAGAGAACCATAAGAATTTAAATAAAGTGAAAATGTGATACGGTATGTAAACATTATATCACATTCATAGGATGTTTCTAGGAGAACTTTGGTGACAGTACTGTTTTTGCTATCAACTTGTATTACACTATGACTATGAAATATAGCTGACGGAATTGAAAAATGTGAATAGGATTCAGTTTTTGATCATAGATATCTTCGAAACACCATTTACTTATTGTGGAACGATAGAGGGAGAAATGTTAACATTTGGCTTAAGCTACTAAGTATAATCATATGATTTTCAGTTCCACTTATAATTCTAACGCTTCTTTGAACTATAATTTCATAATTTCCTGTTCTCTCTAACTCCGATTACTTCAAACATACAAACTGTACAAGGAAGACTTATTTGATGCAACCTCAGAAGTACTAGTTTACATTTAGATTTATTTAATTGCATATAGATTAGATCTAATGATTATTTATGGTAAGATTTGTCAAACTGAGCAGTTGATAATGGGACGGGAAATTACAGTAAATGAATGAATCAAAATGAAAATACAAAAAATCTCACTTGAAAATCAATACAGAATCATACGATTTTCCTATCAAACTTGATAAATTGGTCGACAAAGCTGTATACCTTCCTTAACTGAGGTATTTGAGTTATGTATTACGTATGCCTAACTGCCTAACTCTATGTGCACTAATGACTGGATTAAGAGTAAGTTGGAGTAGTCAAAGCAAGAGTTGGTATCCATTATTAAAATCATTTACTTGTAGTCTGAGAATTGTTGTTAATTATTGACCACTTGGTTGGAGATCGAGTGGTTGTTACCAATGGTTGAATGACATGAATCAGAATCGATCATAATGATACAGATGAGTTCACTCTTTGATTCTCCTAAGGTCTTGATTTTTAAATATTTCATTTCGTTTTCTCGAACTACATTTTCAGTGTTTAGTCTCTCTCTCTCTTTTTCTCATTATGACTGCTTCAATAGTTATGTCCATTATTTTGTAATGGAAATTGAATCAATGAAAATTCGTATTAATCTCTACGCTGATTAGAAATGATTCATATTAGTTGTTAGAACTGAATTTGTTAGATGAACTGATAATATGCACTATAGGTTACGTGGATGTTTCCAAGTGAATGATCAATATTTTCTGTTGTAGAGATTCCAGTACAAGAGTAAATAAACTATTTTAGATTCTTTTTGATTGAAATCATGAGTCAATTGAAGCTAGACCACCATGGGGAACCTGAAAGCACTGGACGGCCGTTTCGTCCTAGTATAGGACTCCCCAGCATTGGGCATCCACGATCCCGCACCCGCAAGATTCGAACTCAGGACCTATCGGTCTCGCGGCAGGCGCTTAACCAACTAGACCATTGAGTCGGCATCCAATGGTGTTAATGTCTAGCCTCAACCAATCCACGAAATCGCGCAACCATCTTCCATTGTACTGAGGTAGATACCTGTTTCTACCCGACACGGATTAGCTCCACTGGTCACGGCTTTCACTAGAACTCCGAGAATTCCCTCACAAAGCTAGTCACTAGTGAGCACATGGTAATTATCAGTCTAGGGATTGTGGAGATTGTTAAGTTTTTGATTGGAATCATTTGTACAGAATTCATAAATTTTTTTACTAACATTCAATTAAATGTACATTTTAAATCATCTAGTTATTATGAAGAAGAAATTACTTAGAGCAGCAAGTGAGCTGACATTTTACAAAGAACGTGTTACTATATTACAAGATCAATTAATTCATCAAAAAAGGAATGAAGAGAAATTGATTCGAGTAATGTATATATATTCATGAAATTTATAAATGTTCTTCTATATATATACCAATGGTTTATGTATCTCTTCACTTATAGAGCATTCATTATCAATCTCGACAACATAGTCGGCATCTTCTTTGTACAGAAATGATCTTTTCAATTATTCCAAAAGTGTTTTATCAGACCTTTTTTTAATAACCTTGTTTGTAATTAACTATTTTCGTAGATTTTACTGTTTTCATTTATGCCGACTGTTTTTGTTAACTGACTTCTGATCTATGGGTTTATATAATGAATCTATTTCGATATGCCACAAGGTAAATCGATATAAATAGTGAGTATGAAAACAGTCCATTACAAGCAGTCATCAAAACAAACTGATATAACATTCAGTTTAGGGGTTGTATAGATTGTTAAATTTTTGATTGAGATCATGAACCGATTGATGTTAGACCATCATTGAAACGCTGAAAGCACTGGACGGCCGTTTCGTCCTACTGTGGGACTCCTCGGCATTGCGCATCCACGATCCCGCTTGCGGGACTCGAACCCAGGGCCTTCAGTCTCGCGCGCGGAAGCTTAACATACTGGACCACTGAGCTGGCATCCAGTGGTGTTGATGTCTAACCTAAACCAATCCACGAAATTGTGCGACCATCTCTCATTGTACTGAGGTAGGCACCTGTTTCTACCCGGCACGGATATAACATTTATGGAATATGTGAAAGCCTCAGTGCTACTTGAAGTAGACTGTAAATGTGTCATACAGAGTGATGAGGAAGGCACGCAAATCCCACTATCTAGTTTAGAGAACAATGCGTTATGAAAAATATCTATCTTGGCTACGATTCGTTTTTGTCATTTCAGTGATTTTTGTTGTCAAGTGATATAGTAATATGGACATTTCTGGAAATGACTGTTACTTTTATCTCAATGTGGTATTCTCAGTTTATCTGATAAAACCCTCTGATAATTTTAATATTAGGCTTCTATGATAAAGGTTGAAAAGTAGTCGGAGTTGTTTTTATGGATGCTCATTTAGTTTGTGGTTTGTTCTTATTACAGATTGCTCTCACTTGGGGTATTATTAGAAACCCTGTAGGATCGACCTAGTACGTAATGTTGTAGTTGTGAATTGATTTTCAATGGTAATCCGATTGAGAGCGAACTGTGACGAATACAACCTGCAAATCAGATGAATATACACAAACTTTCCTTCAAATAAATAATTGTTTTTGGTGACTGAACATACATAGATTTCTAGTCAATAACGTATATTTATCTACATAAGACTATACTTTAATTATTTATTCGAGAATATATGTTATAACTGATTTCATTATTATTTGTTGAAATCTTATTCTTTAACGTTTCTTTGATAATAGGACCTTAGGTCTCGCGCAATATCATGGATTGATTGAGGTTAGACATTACACAGTTGGATACCGGCTCAGTAGTCTAGGGATTAGGGGTTCGCGCAAAAGATCGAAGGTTCTGGGTTCCAGTCCATCTGCGGGATCGTGCATGAACACTGGTAGAGGGTTTCATGCTACAAAGAGTTGGTCGCCCAGTGCTTCCAGGTTTTTAATGATGGTTTAACTTAGATCGATTAATGGTCTCAGTGAAATTCAACAATCTTCGCAACCCCTTACTGAAAACGTATTATTGTTATTCTGTATGAAAAGTGCTTAAAACATGACATGTAACACCTAAAACTGTTCAATATGTAATCGATACTATAACGATATTTTCATTTTCCTCATGCATCACTTGTGTTTAGCTTCAAGCTGAATTCAAATCTCAATCATTAGATTTAGATAAACTTAACAAACAAGTCTCAAGAGTTCCATTATTGGAGAGAACAGTTAAACAACAAGAAGAACTTATTTGTCGATTAGAAACACTTCTTGAACGTCAAAGAAGTAAGTCAATATAATTTCTTTTTTTAGACTGTTTTAAGTACATAACTTAATCAATATTTGAATATGATTAAACATATGGAGTTCTATCTAAAGGAATCATTCGTATTTATGTTATCCAAGGTTAAGATTACTTAGCAGTTCCCGTATACAAACATGATTTCATTTAAGATCAAGCCTTGAATATTGTTATTATTATTTGCTTAGTTCTAACTAATTGAAATATGATCATAAGTAAAAACAATGGCTAAGAAAGCTGAAAGGTTAATCATCCTCCTATTCCACCATCAAGGTATTCCAAGATAAGCTTGAAAGAATAAACTTTATCCCTTATAAACAATGAAACCCCATAGAAAATGTTAATAGGGGGGGGAGATTAAATTTGTTTATTAGTTATTTTTAAATGTTTTGATGATATAAATAAAGTTTAAAGCGATTAGTCCCTTTTATAAAGATGGAGTTGATCTGGAAAATGTGATGTATTTGCACTATACATTTCGAACAATCTGGTCATGCATATACTTGTCAGGGCACTTTATATGAAGATTAATAAAGGTCAATTCAATGAAATTTAAGGTAAACAAGGTAACAAACAGGAGAGAAATAATTTTACATCGTGTAGAAGAATAGGAAATTGTCGCATTATCCTAGGCCATAGAATGAAGGATAACTCGACTTCTACCTGAAGTTTGTGTTGATGATGTCATTCGGAAGAACGATGAGAACTCCACGATCAAACCATCCAGCTCAGTAAACAAAACTCCATCAAAATCATCCACCTGAGCTACTAATCTTCTCCTCCATCTAGTAACCCAACAATTTCCTTTTCTTTCTATACGATGTAAAATTATTTCTCTCCTGTTTGTTACCTTGTTTACTTGAACTTTCATTTAATTGACCTTTATTAATCTTCATATAAGATGCCTTGACAAGTATATGTATGACCAGATTGTTCGAAATGTATAGCAAAAAAACACATTATATTTTTCAGATCAACTCCATTTTTTCATTGTTCTATCGAAATAAATAAAATTCTTTGTCATATGTAATGCTTCTAACATCAATAAGAATAGTATTATTGTGAATCTAAAGTCCGTCTAATTATCGCGTAATTTATTCGTCAATCGAAATACGATTTATTCACTCGTGTACTGTACTAAACGTCCGACCGATCCTTTATTCGCCTAACCCGTCCAACTGAGTCCAGAACACCAATAACAGCTTCCACTATGCGAATCATTTATTTCAGACATACTGGGTTTATATACCAGCTAAACAGAACACATTATACCATAAAATAAGAAATAACATTTAAACAAGATCAAGCCAAATGATGTTGTGAAGATTGGGAGACTGTAATCAATAAACTGAACATAACTTAAGAACAGTAAATCGTATAATAATGATCTATAGGTCAACATGAAGCTTATAATAAGATAAATATCAGTCAGTAACAACATAGAACTTCGTAGGTAGAGGTAGTAAGCAGTAATCAGAAAGAGTAGGGTTTGGAGATGTTATTTAAACAGCACAATCCAGTAAAATAAATTTGGGAAGAGAAAAAAGAGACAAGGAGGAATCAGGAGATCTAAATTTGGGAGAACACAAAGAGTGGATGCACCTGCGCCGTTGAGAACGATTTTGAGCCATGTCATTCAGGGTCTCTAACCATCGGTTGCTATCATCTCGCGGTCCCCAATCAGGTAGTCTACACTTACCAACATGACTAAGTCCACTTGTCAGTGACTTCATGAACTTGCGCCATGGTTTAGTCTGGCCGCCCCTAGCTTTCTTCCATCCTAATCCTATACCACTGAACATCACAACTTCATCAATTGGTTTGCCATCCTTACCTAGTACTCGTTTCCTAACAACTGCATTACTTACTCGATGGTCCCAGGATAAACGAGCAATATTTCGAAGACACCTATGATCAAATACTAGTAACCTACGAATATCCTCTACTCTTACCGGCCATGTTTCACTGCCATAAAGTAGGACGGAACGAACTGCTTCGCATTAAACCCGTCCTTTGGTTGATAGACGGATATCTCGCCTACGCCATAAATGACGCAAGTTGGTAAAGCTAGTTGAGCCTTCTGTATCTGTGCTGAGATTTCGTCACACACCAGATCACAAGGGCTGATGAGACTTCCAAGATAAGTGAAGCGATCGACACGCTCAACTACTTCACTCTCTATCATTAGTTCAATAAGATGAATATAGATATACATAATCTAATTACTGAATAGTGATACAATAAGATCTTCACTAAAATATAACAAATATCATTTAAAATGTCGTATATAATTGTTTTCTTTTATTACATTAGAACAAGCATTAAATGCAAATCATTCCAATTATTCAATGAATCCATTAAATACATTAGATAATGAATTATTAGAATCATTTAATGATAAATCAATGATCAATTATCCAAATGTTCATTCAAATAATTCAATGACAACAATTGCATTAAGAAATTTATCTAATGAAAATGAACAATTACGTAATACTATAACTGAATTAAATAGAACTGTATGTAATTTAGCTAAACAACAACAAGATAATAATGAATATCATCAAACTATTGAACGAAAATATCATGAAGAAATTCAAGCATTAAAAGAACAACAAAATCGTTTAGAAGAACAAACATTATTGAAAAATAAAAGACTTGATCAAATTGTAAGTTGTTGTTTCTTTTTTGTTGTATAATATATTGAAATTTCAATAGTTGAGATTATGATTCAATTGAAACTAGACCATCATGGGAAACTTGGAAACACTGGATGATTGTTTCGTTGTATTTTGGAATTCTCTAGTAGTGAGCATCTACGGTTCTGTGTCGCGAGATTTGAAATCAGGACCTATCAGTTTTGTGAGCAAACGCTTGACCGTTAGGCCGCTGAGGTGGCCGACATTCAACGGTGTTAATGTCTAACTTCAACTAATCCATGAAATTGAGCAATACAAAAAACCAAAAAAACTTTCTGATATTAATCAACATACGCTTGCTAATGAGTGGCTTCAAGTGGTATTTTCTGGAGTTCTAGTGAGAAGCAGTGACCAGTGGAATTCAACCGGGTCTGTTGTGAGATAGTAACTGATTGACGACAATGGTGGATGTGCCACTCAATTTTGTGGATTAGTTGAAGTTAGACATTAACACAATTGGATGCCGGCCGGATCAGTGGTCTAGAAATGAAGCGTTCGTGTGCGAGACTAATAGGTCCTATGTCCGATTCTCGCGAGGCGGGATCATCGATGTGCACTGCTGAGGACTCCTACAATAGTACGAGTTGGCCGTCCAGTGTTTTCAGGTTTTCCATGGTAGTGTAGATTCAATTGACTCATGATCTCAACTAATGAGACAAAAATATATTTATTAGAATAGGATTATGAAGATTGTTGAGTTTTGATTAAGATCATGAATCGATCATTGTTAGATTACTATTAAATATCTAGAAGCACTGGACTTCGTTGAAGTTGAAACCGAAGGTCCTGGGTTCGAATCTCGCGTGCACGATCACAGATACGCACTGCTGAGGAGTCGCATACTGGGACGAAACAGCTGTCCAGTACTTCCAGTTTTCATCAGTGGTCTAACATTAATCGATTCATGATTTTAATCAAAAAATATATTTGATGTAAATAAATCTAAATGGAATAATTCATGGAAATTTTTCCGAGTTTATTCTATCTTTGCTCTTATTAGATGAAAGATATTGGCAAATAATAATAAAGAGTTCTAGTGGAGAATAGAGGTGTTTTATATTACATCATGGGATTATTTTATGATACTAATTCAAAAACCTATCTTTGATTACACAATTGGTTTTTGTCACAGGCAAAAATATCCTTGAATCACTCATACAACTGTAATCATTTTTATTTGTTATCTAAGCCAACGTTTATGCAGTCAGATCAGTCTGTTTGTAACGGTGATATTTGAAACTAGAACTTTAGTTAGGGTACGATTGAAAACCAAGAAGGATTGGATAACTATTTTGTTTTAGTAAGGATCTTTTTAGGATCTCTGACAGGAATTGGAAAAAGAACCTTTATGTCTTGCAACAGCACTTACATTTCAGGTCATTGGATGGTAAACCAATTGAATACATTCTTAGGTTCAACTGAACGTGAGATAATGATAATCCAATGCTATCAATATTTCATTCATGATATATTCGAACTTTACTGGTCACAGTTTTTTATGAGACTTTAGGAACTCATCTTTATTCAAGTTGCTAGTAGGGTGACGATTATAATTTTATTTTATGGGTATTGTGGACATCTTAAATAGTTTACCGATTTGTGTCTGTGCATGATGATTGCTATCTATAAATAGAACAAATCTCAGCAAACATCCGCCACATCAAAATAAATATACAATGTCGCTATTATTCTTTAGTAGCTTAGAGGTACCCTGTATGCTGGGAAAGTGTGATAAGTGGCGTATATAGAAGAAACTAGATGAGGAGAGAAGTAAAAAGTGAACCGACAACTCAGTAAGCACAATACATTCATTCTAATGGGGTTATTTCAAATTCCATTGTTTTTTTCTCCATGAAATACTTTAGGAAAATGAAAAATTTAGAACAGTACTTGCAGATAATGAACGATTAGAATTGTACAAATTATTGGATAATGCTGAATTAAGAATCAAAGCATTAGAAGAAGAGGTACGATTATTAATGATTACCAATATATACTCTTGAAATGATTATTAATATTTCTACGACTAGTTTGATAGAAAATGGCTTGCGAGTAAATAGAAGTCATTATTTACGAAAATTATTGTTATAACTTTATGTCCGGCTTTTTATCACGTGATTTATCCACCAATCAAAATACGACTTATACAATCTTAACACTGTGCCAAAACCAATGACGATCGATCGGTATGGGCAGTCTAGCGTCCTTATTGGTCCTATGTCCGCCTAGTCCGTTCACTTGAGTCCAGAACACCAAATATCAGCTTCCAATATGCGAATCATATATTTTAAACATACTGTGTTTATATATCAAACAAACAGACCGCAACGCACCATAAAATAAGAAATAATGTTTGTACACAATAAAGCCAAAAAGACGCTGTGAACGTGGGAGGCAGTAGTCAATAAACTGAACATAGCTTAAGAACCGTAAATCGTACAATCGTACCTCGCAACTTCATTGATAGCATTCGATCTGCACTAAGAAGGACTTGACACACATGATCACCACCCAGTGATCAATCAATTGTGAAGAGTGTTCCCTGCAATGAAACATTGTTCATTTAAAGACTGGACTCATCATCCAACATTTTAGATTAAAGTCAGGTATAAAGTTGGATGTTCTAATTCATTTAAGTGTAGAGAATTTTCCGAATTTAGTAGTCTATAGTGAAATAGATGAGTGTTGGACGTAAGTCTATAAAAATGAATAAGTGTTGCATAATTTGGTATTATAAACAAAGTTGTCGAACGTTCCCAGGTATTCAATAAAATAAATATTATACAACTTAATAAAGTGACAGAAGACTATCAAGGAATAGATTTACGCAATAATTTCAAGTGATTTGAAATAATCATTTATGCAATAAATGTAAAAGATAAGTGTATACTCTACAAAGAATCCTTATATCTTATGTAAAAGGTGAGATCAGATCATATAAGGAAAGGTAATAAGTATACGATAAGCTACTTTAAATGATCTATTTCTGTCCACTAAAAGACCACTACGGACCAAGCCCTCAAGCGCCCTTATACGGCCGAGATGGGGAGAGTCCTCTCTCCCTAACGAAACGCTCCCACACGGCCACGCGTATATAGCCTCTGCCAGGGAAGTCCTACTCACTGTCTTCTCTCGGTGACGGTGTTGTTTACGAAATTGAGAGGACGAAAAGCTAACGTCCGGTGCTTTAACCGGGTTGGTGGAAATGGAGAATCCATCTAGGGGAGTTGGAAAACCCTGATTCCAAACCAATGGTGCACATGGGCTCCACGATCCTGAAGGAACAAATGCGGCATGAACCAATCGATGGTCACCATGGGACTGTATCTCCTTACGACGCTCCACTACCTTGTGGATCAGACCTTCAGGTCGAAAGCTCGGGGTGTGGCCCTTTAAGAAAACCACCTTCTTCAGTTTGGACACCCGGGAGTATCACAGCCCTCACACATATCAAATGAGATTTGTGTGGCGCATATGTAACTGGTGCCTCCTTGTGCCAGTATTTATGTGTTCAAATAAAAAAGTAAATAAATAAATATAGACCAAGTGTGATAGAACGGAGCCGCTTATTATTTTAATTATATCTTAGCTAACCTATAATTATTAAGTGTTGTTAAATGGATCTGGACAATGACCAGCTATAATAGAGAATCATAAAAAAATGTATTTGGTTTATTGTCCTTCACCGATGAGTGATTCGTATGTGATAACTCAATAGGCGGTTAAAATTAACTTTCGTTTCTGACTTTTCGAGATATTTTTTTTCCTGTAGTATACTACATGTAAATTTGTTATTTCATATAACGGCATCAAAAATACCACCAATTAAAGAACAGTGAATTATCGACCGAACCAATGACGCATAAACCTGTACGAGAAGTCTAGAGTCCTTATCGGTCACTCCTTTCTGCCGAGCCCTGACTATTAAGCCTCTGCAATATGAATCATGTATTTCAAACATACTGACTAGGTTTATATACAAATCAAACAGATCACATCCTAAGATAAAATAGAAAATAACATTTGTACAAGATTAAGCCAAAAGTGGCTGTGAATGTGGGAGATAGTAATTGACAGACTGGATATAACTCAAGAATGGTAAATCGTATAATAATAATTCATAGGTCAAAATAAAGTTTAGGATAAGTGGAACACGAATATGAATAAGATTTTAAAGCATAGATGATAGTGGCTAGCAATGGAATCCAGTTTGACTCGTGTTTCGTCCTGTTTGGGACTCTTTAGCTAGATGCACCTGCATCTTATAGTTGGTCTTCACTCTTGAACTCGAACTCAGTACCGTTCGCTTCAAACACCATCGCGTTTTATCCATCTTTGCTAAAAAGCCTGTGACTTAAAGGTGATATCGACGCAATCCCCACAGAATGCACATATGCCAACATGGGACTGATCAATTGAAGTCCTAAATAACAATGGGAAGATACAAGTAAAACAACACCAAGTGAACGAATATGAATAGTTTAGTTACTTAGCAATTATACGATAGAAATATATATATCATATTGGTCCATAAATAGATCCTAACAATAACTATTCAATATTCTCGTCAGGATATAACAAATATCTATTCTTATAACTTTATTTTAGCTTGAACGTCAAGATATTAGAGTACCAAGAAATTCTAATGATATAGGAGCTTCACGTAAATCTAATTTATCAAAAGAAAATGCTTGGAAATACTCTGGTCCAGTAAGTTAAATATAATATGAATACATATACATAATATGTACTTTCATCATGGTATTTTTTTTCTCCTAAATGGTCATCTATATATATATATATATATATATATATATATATATATTATATATATATATATATATATATATATATATATATATATATATATATATATATATATATGGAATAACATTTCACAGTAATGTAATGAGTGTACAATTACCATATCACTGTATCTATCTTAATATAAGATTGTGAAAAACTTTGAAAAAATTGTCTGAAAGTTTATCTATCTGTCATAATGTACCGTGTCTATCAATTGAATACTATTGTTCATAAGAGATGTAAATTGAATTCATTATAATTGTTATCAAGATGATTCGAGTTGTATTTCTGGTAACACTGAGTGGTCATTTTAAGACATATTAAGTTTTCGATTAAGATCTTGAACCTATTGATGTTAGGCCACCATTGGAAACCTGGAAGCACTGGAAAGCCGTTTCGTCATATTGCGGGACTCCTCAGCAGTGCGCATCCCGCTCGCGGGATTCGAACCCAAAACCCTTTTCTCGTGATGTAGTGTGATAATCTCCACAATGTATGTGATGTTCACTTAAGGCGTCAGTCCCTAATTTCCTCTTCATCTGGAATCTGGTTTGTTCTCTCTCACAGTAAGGGTAGTTCTCTTTCATTATGTTCAATTAAAAGGTTAGTTTTGCTACTAGAACATACTTTTGGCTAGATAATTTCAATAGATTCAACTGAAACCAATTATAAACAGAAATTGTTCTCAAAGTATTCTGATTATCTTTTTAGATAACATCTATAGGTTACAAGTTTATATAGAATAAATGGAATTTTTTTAGCAATGGGATTTAGGATGTGCGTTTCATTCTATTCAGGACTCTTCAGCTGGATGTACCTGAATCTTGGAATGTATTCAACTGATCAGTTCAAAATAAGATGGAAATTAAATCTGTAAAACAGTTCAATGATAACTTTCATTTAACTGACCACTGTACCACGTTTTATAACTAAGCACATACTGTTTATCGCTGATATATTGACACAAAGTTTTGACATTTTTGCTATTGAGCCTTCGTTTGGGAAGCATTAGATAGTTACATTTTATTTTTAAGAAATACATTTATTTCTCTAACTCCAAACTCATGCGAGAATCACATACACTACTATGAAACTGAACAGTGGCAGATGACTCGATGGTTCAAATTTCCTAAGGATTCTTTGTGTTTTTAATGATCGAAATTAGTCCTTTCTCAATTAGCATTTTTACCGCTCTTCAGGTATTAAAATATTCAAATAATGACTGAGGTATTAGTGGAAGTTAAATACTGAACCTTTTAATTCACTTCTTTACCTATTAACAATATATTTTGGTGAACCGATATGTCAATATTACAGGCTGAGAGTTTAGGATGGGATCTTCAGTCAAGAATAAAGTTGATAATTGTCAGAAATAATAATTTTTGAAAGCAATGCATTAAGAAACGTCAAACACTATTCATATTTGCATGAATTGTAATGTCTATGGACAGAATTTACGTATTTCTAGTACTTGTTTACTATAGAAACCAATTCAGTGGTACTAAATCACTTATGTAATCTATTATTTAAGACAGGTAGAGTATGCTCTTTTTTTATTAGTTGCGAACGAACTACCTAGCTAAAGGCCAACACATTTTTACGACGCAGCTCCGAGGTTACTTAAGGGAAATGTTACGAAAAATGGCGCGGTTGACTGGATAGAGATCAGGTTAGCCTAATACTCTTAACGAAACATGGACTAAACCTTCTTCGCTCACGGTATTCACCAACGGTACCTGAGTATACAGCATTTATACCTATGTGTATACTATGGAATTTCTGGGTCCTGGACTTGTGTATATCTGGTATGCATACAGCGTAAACTGGTAAAAAAATGTCCCCAAGTATTGCCAGTGTTCCATGAAAATTACCATTCCAATTTAGTAGTTGTGCTACTGAGTAAACAGAAAACAAAATATTCGGATAGGCTAATCGGCCTTACCAATAGACTTCACACATCTGCAAGGGTCATCTGAAGAATCACTAATAATAAACAAATCAATTGGTGTCATAAGGAACTTTTGGTCAATTTATTTATATTATTATTAACTCACAGAACAGTTAGTTAGTTAGTTCAACCAATCGTTGCTTTTCTTTTTTTCCATTTAAATAGTCCAAAGTACCACTTGGAACAAGTGATATATATGCACGAAAATCCCTAGAGAAGCCTATTCCAGAGTATGATTCGTACTAAGGGCAATACTAACAAATCATTTTAGTTTTTCGGGTTCATTTTTCGAATTGGTACGTATTTTTATTCTGAATTTATCAGTAGTTTTAATCGCGTAGACTTAGATTTTTAATACATTTAATTTGGCAGAATATGGTAAACATTTGCTAAACTTATTAACTACTTATAAAAAAGTTAGTAGTGTTCTACATTTTTGACACAATAATGAGTATTCCGAAATTTATATATCACAGAAAATGTAATGAGAAAATTATGAATACCAGTCAAATATTTGCACAATCTTTTTAATTACAGGTTATTGTTCATGCCACTGAGAATTTCTAATGATGTGCAAAACATCTTAATAAATTTTGGTTTAACCTCAGTCATTGCATAGTCTAGTTGAGAGCTGAGTACATAGATTGAACTTTATCCAAACATATCTGAATAACGTTGGAAAACATGAATCCATCAGTGTTAGACCACCATTGAAAGCTTGGATGCACTGTACGGTCTTTTCGTTCCAGAATGGGACGCCCGGAAAAATCGTGATTATTATTATCAGCTTTATTCAATATTATATTTTTGGTACAATATAGAATTCTCAGCGCATAGTATTTCAACAAGATTCCGTTTCTTTCTTCTTGGTCGGTCCTGGCGATAAATATTGAGTGATCGCCAGTTAGATGTTAGCAGTTCAGTAAATGAACATCTGAATAATGTGCATTCTTTTCGCTGTATATTGCCAGCAACCACATTGTCTCTTATTGAGTTTTTTGTAACTTTGACAACGAAAGGTTGTACACTTTTCAGAAACGCAGCAGAATAGGTTATGCGATTAATAAACATAATGATATATTAAAACAAACAAAAATAGATAACTTGTTGAAATATCTAGATGGCAAGAACAGGTAGCCCAGATGCTCAAGCAGGCCGCCCTTTATAACTTAATTATTCATCTCGTTAGGAGATATTTAGAAAGATAAAGAGGAGATCTTTTATGGGCTGTTTGTGGTTTTGTCTTTGACACAACCATAGTTTATGATCAAAACAACCAGATTTAGATGAGCGACTCTCGAATTCGTGCATAAAACTCATTTATCCATATGGATAAATAGACTTCTAGTATTATAACTGTTGTCAATTCGTAGTGAAAACCTTAAGTCTTAATCTTATTTCCTGGAACTAATTTTTAATCTTATTTCGAACCTAGTAAATAGTTGAAGTTGCTCAAGGTCACTTTTGTATCTCTCAAATGTAGTCCTTAAATTATACAATATTAACTTCTAAAATATTTGTCAACAATGACAATAATTTTCAAAAAATAATAACAACAGTGGAATGCAGATGAATAAAAGTGCAACAAACTATCGGTACTCACATTGTGAGACTGAAGTGTTAATTGTTATGTGATGGTTACCATAGTAACTGGAGTAAGATTAACAATGATGTTTATTTATATGAATAAGTTTATAATTGTTAGGTTGTTTGTTATTTACATAAACTACGGAGACTATAATGTGTGTGTTTTTTTAAAAAAAAGTTTGTTTTAATACCTTATTGTAGTTTTTTTTAAAATTATTTGCAAACAAGTTGTTACGCAACACTAACTTGATACTTTCAAACTATAATATACATATATATTTATAAATGTTATTTAATTTCTGATAAAAACATGTCACTGGTTGAAATCATGAGTCAATCGAAGCTAGATCACCATGGAAAACCTAGTGACTGACTTCAAGAGATACTCCTGGAGTTCTAGTGAGAAGCCGTTATCCGTGGAGTTCAATCAGGTCGGTTGTGAGATATCAACTCACTGAAGAAAATGGTGTACGGTGGCGCAACTTCGTGGATTGGTTGAAGTTAGACACTAACAACGTTGGATGCCGGCTCAGTGGTCTAGTGGTTAAGTGCGAAACCAGTAGGTCCTGGGTTCGGATCTCGCAAGGGTCTAGGTCATGGATGCGCACTGATGAGGAGTCCCATACTAGGACGAGTTGGCCGTCCAGTGCTTCCAGGTTTTCCATGGTGGTCTAACTTCAATTAACTCATGATTTCAACCACTGAAATTTCTAAAATCTCCACAAAACCCCTTCTGATAAAAACATAATGTGTTCATGGGTCATAATATATCAAAATTACATAATTTGATGAAAATATAACCATACTATAAATAAAAATAATATATTTGTAATATCCCAATGAGTAGAAAATTGGATTTTTCTGACGTTTCGTGGCTTAGTGTAAGTCACTTCTTCAGAGAATAAATAACCAAATTAAATTAATCCAAGTTTAAATAGTACAACGGAACAATGCAAGAATAATATTTGATCAATCAAAAACAGGTCTGAACAAGTTGATGTATGTCATTTCTGTCACGGTGATTCATAAGTGATAAGTATGTAAATTTGTGTATGTATGTGTGTGTGCATTGTTAAAGAATGAAAACTGTGTGACCTATATGGTAAGAAAGGATAGAGTTTAAATTTGTAATATGATAGTGTGAAATTGTAAATACGATCAGACTGAATGGTTAGGATAGATGGTCCAAGTAGGATGTATGGTAAGGCCTTCTTTTCTATTGAGAGAAGTGGGATTAAGCATTATATGGAATGCCTCAGCTACCCTCCTTTCTTTGTAGTTGGAAAAGCCTTTTTGCAATATTTTGATATTTTTAAAATCGATTTGGTGGTTGTTGAAAATGGCATGAACTGCTATTGCCGATTTAATTTGAAGTTGGTTCAGTTCTACAGGATTGTTAGGAGGTTTCTTTGTGTACCTAATATGTTCTTTGGCTCTAGTCAAGATTTCGCGGGATGACTCTCCAATATAATAGGCATCACAATCGATACAACCTAATTTGTAGACGCAGTTCTGTGTGGACATGAACGGGATTTTTTCTTTCAAGCGAACTAAAGTATTACGTAGTGTGTTCGTTGTTTTGTAATACACTTTAATTCTGTGATGTTTTAAGATTCTTTGAATTTCTTCTGTTGTGCCATGACGGTATGGTAGGACTACAGTGCCAATCCAAGGCATTTCATTCGAATCATTATTATAATGTAATAAACTGTGTTGTTTTAATATGCTTCTAATAATCTTCATAGGAAAATTATTAAATTGTAGGATGCTAATTATATTCATTTGTTCTTTTTGTTTGTCTTCCTCTGATGTGATGATCTTGTTAGCTCTTCTAAAAAGATTTAAGGCTAGCGAGATCTTAGCACTGAAAGGATGTGCTGAATGGAAGTCAATATAACGATTTGAATGCGTCGGCTTTCGGTAGATGGATAGGTTTAGACTTCCATTTGGATTTCTTTTTACCAAGCAATCCAAGAATGGTAGTTCACCATGTACATTTTCATTTTCATTCGTGAATTTGATGTGCGATGAGAGTGTATTAATTCGTTTTGAAAAAGATCTTAGATGAGTCTTTTTTATAACAACAAATGTATCGTCTACATATCTAAGCCAAATTCGTGGTATAATGTTGTGGGCGAAGATATTTGATTCTATGTATGCCATAAAAAGGTTGGCTACAATCGGGGACACGGGGGATCCCATCGCTACACCGTTAGTTTGTTTGAACAACATACCGTTAAAAGTAAATAGCGTTGAATTTAAGCAAAGTTTTAAGGATTTCATGATTAGACTGATGCTCAACGGACATCTGTCAGGAAGAGTATTGTCGTTCTCAAGTAAACCACTAATGAATTCTAAGCATTTATCAATGGGAACACTTGTGTATAAAGAAACGACATCAAAGCTTACCATGATTTCATTCTTCTCGATGATTAACAATGCACACACACATACATACACAAATTTACATACTTATCACTTATGAATCACCGTGACAGAAATGACATACATCAACTTGTCCAGACCTGTTTTTGATTGATCAAATATTATTCTTGCATTGTTCCATTGTACTATTTAAACTTGGATTAATTTTAATTTGGTTATTTATTCTCTGAAGAAGTGACTTACACTAAGCCACGAAACGTCAGAAAAATCCAATTTTCTACTCATTGGGATATTACAAATATATTATTTTTATTTATAACAATCAACCCAATGCTCAATTTATTCGAAATTATCAAATCAAACCTTGGTAATGACACCTACAAACTCATTAATAACCGGATCAAATTATCCAAGTGTAAATGCAATTGGTACAATCACAGAATATTTAATAAACGATGTTTACAAGACAACATTATCCCTAAATCTCTTGCTATAAAACCTCCAGAACGGTCCTGGAGATCTATCCAGACTTCGCAACACGCGTCTCGAATATTCTTACGAGAACGCATTCACAAATGCACACATTTACTAGAAAAATATCGTGAACGAATCAAAAACCTTGATGATTTACTGAAGCTTTTAATCCCTATCGAATTACAAACCACGATATCCAACCTGTTTATAGAAAGAGAACTCCACTATTTAAATTCTTCGAAACACCGACAAATCAAAAAATTCGAAAACATCAAAGAAAAGAAGAAAGATAAGAAAACATCAACAATAAAATACAATTTGAATGATCTAAGAACGGTTCATAATCTCTCCAACAGAAACTTAAACAGTCACGAAATCACTCTACTAGAGAAGGGATTAAACTTCAATTTACACAGAAAACCACTTAGCACTCTTGAAATCGCTCCGATTATAGAACCAATGATCGCACAACTACCGGAAAAAGAGTCGCATTTACTACGTCAAAAGACATCCCATATTCTAACGAAACAAAAACACATTACCCCAAACATTTCAAAAGAAGAATTGAAGGCTCTGAATTCACTTAAAAAAGACAAAACGATTATCATCACAAAAGCCGACAAAGGCAACACAACAGTAATCATGAATAAAACAGATTATATTAATAAAGCTCTTGAACATCTCTCAACGGGTCCTTATGAAAAGATCAATCCCAAAACTTCTCTAACGATTAAGAATAAAGTCAAATTAGAAACAAATCAACTTCTGAACGAGCTAAAACCAATCATTGGGGTCTCGCT